AAAATTGTGACCACAAAAATAAACTAGATCTATGTTTTGAAAATAAAAATAGAAAGGGGGTATTGGCACCCGCTGGCAAATRATTTTAAGGATTAAAAAAGAAATTATAAAACATTATTGTACTATTAAAGTTATTATATTTTATAATTTTTGTCAATAATAAAAATATAATGTCAGATTCTATTTACGCTGCTTGCTTATGTGGTAAAAAGCGATTAAAATTAATTGAAACAAACTGGAAAAGAAATTTGACATTTCTAAAGTCTCAAAATTAAAAAAAAAAAAACTACACCGTTGTCGATGTAAATAATTTTTTTTTTACAAAAAAATGGTTTTAGATTCTGAACGAAGTGATGAATGTATTGATTTTACAATGATGTGTGTTTTATTATTGTGTCTATGTACAGCATAACTAGTCGGAATAATGCTTCAATTTCTAACAATGAGGGTGGTTTCCGATGGAAAAGTGAATATCCTTGGTGCATTATAGGTCAAAAGTAAACATTTTCCAACAGTTTTCAAAAAAATCGAGAAAAATAAAAAAAAAAGTGACAGAAAAACGGGAATTTTTACGCAAAACCAGTTTTCGACCAAATCGATTTTTTTATATGATTGTTATTCATAAACTAATCACTGTATATACTTTTAATATTCACCAAATGTTTATGTTAGTGTTCTCTATATACAGTTTAATTTTCAAAAGCAGCTAAATTGGAACTGCTGAGCATAAAATTTGCCATGTTACGCACTTGAAAGACGAAGACAACACATGCGGGTGTGGCGTCCTCTTAAGTACCGGGTTCCGGGTCAGGGAACCACCGTCTCTTGTTACTGCTATTCTTTTCGTCATCTACGGACTGCTGCTGCGGCTGCATTTGACCCTTTTGAACGACTGCCGAATGATGTTGATGGAGATGATGAAGGTTTTGTTGCTGATGATTGTTGTGCTGTTGTTTTTGATGCTGCTGTTGTACGGCTACAGCGATGTTGTGCTGTTGTCGTCGTTTCCCGTGCGGTGGCGTCGTCGTGGTCTTGGTCGTTGTCGTGTCAGAGGCTACCGCCGACGCTCGTTTCGTCAGCAACAYGCACACGTGAAAACTACTCTTCTATAAAAATGTACTCTTTTCTTGACATTTTCAGAAGTGTATATGATAAAACGGTATCGCGAAAAAATAACTCCGGAAATTTAGACCCCGAAAAAAAGAACCCCGAAYAAATAACCCCGTGAAAAAATAACCACAGAAAAAATAACCCCAAATGAGATTTTGCAAATTAATCTAAATATTGGTRTTAATATGTCATTGCGTGAAAAAAATTAAAAAATGTTTAATATACCTRTTABCTACGTAYWATTTTTATGTTCCCACAAATAACGTTAATTTTGGATTCAATGATAAATTATTGATTAACCTACGATAAAAACGATTCAGAGCACGATGCCAGTCTGTCTGTCATATCGATCATATATA